GGCTGAGCTCGTCGGAGGGGAAAACCATATGGTTTTCCCCTCCGACGAGCTCAGCCACGCCCTAAACGTCGGCAACGTGGCCGCGTCACCTCCGGTGATGCAGCTTGGGGGGCGGGGTTCCTCCCGGGCCGGAATTCCCCTGCGCTGGAAATCGGGCCGCGGAAGCGGGGGATTCCCCGCCCCCCGGCCCGATTTGGCAACCCTACCCCATTTAGACGAAGGCCTGGTCTGTCACTGCCTGCAATACAACAAACTTTCACAAAGTAGAAAGTGTGGATCTTAAAAGTTAATGCATTTATTGCATCATAAGATATCAGGAGCCAAAGACCACTTCATCTGTTGGCAGACAGATTTTTACCTAAACGTACAAACAACAGAAGGGTGGAGGAATTTGTTACAAAGGGAGGTCATTAGGACCAGTTTCCCAGGACAAGTTCCATAACAGCAGTGCAGATAAAAACAAAATCAGGTCAGAAGAGTAAACATTCCACTGGGAGTGGATGAGGACTGCTCCCAACTGCTGATGAACTGGCAAAGTAAGACGAATGTGAACAGTGCAGATAAACCTAACCCTGGCTGTCTCAAATGATGGCCAGCCCAGCTTAAAGCAAAGACCCCATATCAGACTGAATTGCTGGCTGTAAATCCCTGCAGAGTCTGACCTCTTTATAACCCTCACCATAGCAGCTATGCTAAGACTGACTGTCCTCGGCACCCCCCCCAAACAAAAACAGATAAGAGACCACCGCTGTATCTCTTAGGAAACGTGATCAGAGACACACTTTACATCTTATTGCCCTTTGTTTTGCAAGCCTTTTATGATACGTAATATTGCTTGCTCTACTCTGTTTTGGGTCTGGTGGATCAGTACTTGAAAAGAAACCAGCTAACACATTTCAAACATTTTCTCTCTTTTTCTCTTTTTCACCAGGAGTGCAAACTGTTGGGGACAGGTAGGAATGGTGGGCAAAATAAGCTCCTGATTATTAGAAAGCTCCTTAGGAAGAAACTCAAGGATTGCTATGCTACATGCACAGCATTGGTTATTTAGAAGTATTTCCTGTAATACTGAAAGATTTTTTTGGTCAGTATTTATGTCTTTCATTCTGTAGTAAAATCAGGGCAAGCTCTGTAATGAGGTGAGGAGCAGCGGCGGCTCTGCTGATGGACTGGAGAGAGCAACAGCCTCCACCACCACCTGGGGTGCCGACCGAGCTCCTAGCCAGGGCAGGGAATCCCCCACCCGCTGTTTCCATTGCTTACCACTCTTAATGGTGGCAGGAGAAAATTAAAAAAACTCCATTGCCGGCTGTGGGGTTGGGCACTTCTGATTAAAAACAAGGAAGTGACATAGGGTAGTTCTAGCAATTCTATGGTTATTCTATGGTAAAATCACCACCACTAGGAACCACCAGAAACTCTATGGCTTTCTTACAGAGTTTCTAGCAATTCCAACTTCATGGTTTTCCCATAAAGTTTCTGGCAATTCCTAGAGGTACCCAATGTCACTTCTGGGTTTTTTAAAACTGGAAGTGATGTGATGCCACAGCCAGCATTTTAGCCCCCCTCTATATCGCTGCCCATAGCCCCCTCGCCAATTGCCAGGCACTACCTTGCAACCCTACCCACCACCCCTGTCTCATTGTTCCACAGAGTCACAGCCTCTCTCTCATCACCCAACCTAATGCTCCCTAATGCTCCTTCCCTCCTTCCACCATCTTTAACAGAGTGTGGCAAACTGCACATACCCAGTAGGGCTTTGTGAACTTGGGAAGCCCTACAGGGTATGTGGAGCTTATAATACACTGTTTATTGATGCCTATGGGAAAGGGGAGGGAAGAAACATTTGCTGCTCCAGCCAGAGACAGAACAGAATCAGAGAGTTGGAAGGGACCATACAGGCCATCTAGTCCAACCCCCTGGTCAATGCAGGCTCAGCCTAGAGCATCCCTGACAAGTATTTGTCTAGCTGCTGCTTGAAGACTGGCAATGAGGGGGAGCTCACCACCTCCCTAGTTAGCTCATTTCACTGCAGGGACTCTGGGGCAAGTGATGTTCTGTCTTCTTGGTGCTTGGGGGGGGGTCAACAGTGGGAGGGCTTCTAATGTCCTGGCCCCACTCGTGGACCTCCTGATGGCACTGGTATTTCTGGCCACTGTGTGATACAGAGTGTTGGACTGAATGGGCCTTTGGCCTGATCCAACATTGGCGTCTCTTATGTTCTTAACTACTCGAACTGTAAACAAATGTTTCCTAATATCCAGATGCAACCTTTCTGCTTTTAATATAAACCTATTATAGTCCTCTCCTCTGCTGCCAACAGGAACAGCGCCCTGCCCTCGTCTAAGTGGCAGCCTTTCAAATACTTCAAGAGAGCAACCATGTCCCCCCTCAACCTCCTCTTCTCCAGACTGAACAGTCCAAAGTCCCTCGGCCTTTCCTCATAGGGCTTGGTCACCAGGCCCCTCGATCATTCTCACCGCTCTCTTGTGCATCTGCTCCACTCTGTCCATAACCATTTTGGAGTGCGGCCTCCAGAACTGCACACAATACTCCAGGTGCGGCCTGACCAATGCGGTGTACTAACATGAACATCTTAATGAATAGTAATTTTATATTAATATTAATTTATGGAGGTCTCTGTTGTAATTTTGTCTGTGTGATTAGCACAGACTCTCCATATCAGAAGGGACAAAAAAAGGTCGCCTAGATTAATCTTCCTTACGAAACAGTGAACTGTCCACCCACCACCCCTGGTCCCACTCAACTGAAGAATCATTGGTTTGCTGCACACTGATAAGTCACCATTACCTGCTTTGCTTTTCTGCTCCTTGATCCAAAACATCCGATGCTATTGCTGTTGGGGGAAACGTCTCTTCTTTGTATATAGATATTCTGGGTGTAGCTACTTGGGAGCTCAGACTCTAATTGATAGGAGAGATTATGAAGAATGCACACACAATTCTCTGTGGCCTGAAAGAATGAACAAACATGAAGGGCTATGCAAACAATCAGAGGAGACAAGAAAAAGACCTGACATGCACCTCAGTTGCAGTCACTGAGTAATTTGGCCTTAGTTTAGAGCTCCTGGTTGATGATGGATTATTGTCTATTGCCTTAATTTCCTTCTACCGAAAAGACTGTTCCTATCCTCATGGTCAACTCTGACCAAGCAGAGGGTACCGAAATGAAAGGTCTTTGTGAGGTTTTCTCCCTGTAATCACACAGATTATTTTTCCCCAAAACCCACCAGAATTGATACTTTGGATCAGAATTTAAATTTCTGGAATTGAAATAATTTTTATCATGTTTTTATTCTACCCTTCACCTCAAGGAGCTTAGGCTGATGTACATATTTCCCCAATACTAACTGCAACACGTTAATGGCCACAAAAGACCACAGAAGTCTACAAAATGAACAATACAGTTAGAGCATTACTTTGTAAAAATCTCTTCGGTATTTTCTCAGCTTGCTTTGGTAGCAGTGGAAAGTGCCATCAAATCACAGTCAATTTATGGAGACCCTGAAGAGTTTTCAAGGCAAGAGACTAAGGCTGATTCTGCATTGGCTTTTCCCTCCATTGTTTTTCCAAACCCATGCTGGAACAAAAAAGGTGCAGCTCAAAATATCCTGGGACAATGCTGTACTGATTGCAAAGTCACCTCTGAATGGCCATAAAACTATGCAGAAGGTACCATAAAACCCGATGATCAAAGAAAGTGAAAGTGGCATGGAGTGCAGAGGGTACCATAAAATCCGATGATCAAAGAAAGTGAAAGCAGCATGCAGTGTAGAGGGTACCATAAAATCCAATGATCAGAGAAGGTGACAGCAGCATGCAATGCAGAGAGGAATTTCTGTTCCATTGTGGGTTTGGTGTGGGGAGGAAAAACCCAATGCAGAATCACACTTACAGAGGTGATTTTGCCACTGCCTGTCTCTGTACAATGAACCTGGACTTCCTTGGTGGACTCCCATCCACTTACATAGGTGGTTTTGCCACTGCCTGTCTCTGTACAATGGACTTCCTTGGTGGACTCCCATCCAAATACTAACTAGGGCTGACCCTGCTTAGCTTCCAAAAATCTTATGAGATTTGGCTAGCCTGAGCCATCCAGTCAGAGCAGCTTGCTTTAGGTTAACAATTTATCAGGCAAAGCGGATTTTTAACAACATTGTCAGTTCATTAACTGAATTAATGTGGCTGACTGAAATGTACCAGACTAAGTAACAAAGAAATTCACTTTTGGATTCTGAAATGCACAAAGACTAAACCAATTAAGGACCCAACAGGGAACAATTGACTAACCTCTCAAAAACAAACAAAACAAACAAACATAGGCCCCATTCACACGGAGGATTTGCCATGCTAAAGGCACGAATGGTAGGCGGATTGCGCACCAAAGATCACACTGCAACATCTGGGAAGCGTAGCGCACCTGTAGGCAACCCGTGGCATCCCGTTGAAGATGCGCGGTAAAAAATATCTCAGAAAGTGCAGTAGTATTCGGAAAATGCGCAGCAGGGGCAGGCGTCTGATTGCGGGAGCGCTAGTATCCTGTGGCTTCCGGCGCCCGTCCGAGTCCCATCGCAAACCAGATGGTTCCCCTAAGCGCATGTGCACAGACACTAAACTGGAAGCAGTGCTGCTCCATGGAACTGTGCATGTGCACAAACACGGAACGCTTGCCACGCAGCTTCTTTGCCAGCTCCAGCATCGCCGTGTGATCGCGAGCTTCCTGCCACAGTGCGAATACTCGGGAGACTGTGTGATCGAGCTAACACACTTTATTTTGCCCCGGGGCCTCACCCTCGCGTTATCTGGCCCGTGTGACCGGGGCCACACATATATATTACATTAGGGTATTTTCTTCCTTGAAATCAGTAGAAATACTCATCTGAGGAATCTGACATGGCCAGTTTATTTTTGTGATAAGAAAAATATAATGAAAGGGTGATGTAGACTTGAGATGCTGCATTTTCCCAATACTGAAATCGCTTATATATAGAAAATAATGTGGAAATATTGTCTGATATACTGATTCTCAAAATTGGAGAACTATAGAGATTCAGCATGACATGCTCCACTCAAAGAAAAAGACAAAGCCTTAATGTACATCCCGAGATATTCATATGGGACATTTCTGGATCCTGGTCAGAATATTGCGGTTGTCTCTAGGAAACCTGAATTCAGATCCCAACTCAGTTAGGAACCTAGTTTGGATGGTTGTGGGCTGGCTACTGTCACCTGAATGTTTGGATACACGAAGCCACATATGAAACCAAACCCTTATTCATTTAGCCCAAGCATGGGCTCTCTAGGATCCCAGTGATGGGTCTTCCTCAGCACTGCTATCTTGAGATCACTTATTAAGTCAAGATGCCAGATACTGAAGAAAGGACCTCAGACATTCAAAATGCATGGTTTTCTAACCCACCCATCCTCCCTAGGAGATACATCACAGGGTTGCTGTGTGGATGATGAAGCAGGATAATTAAAAACCCCTTTCTGGATAGGGCAGTAAAGAAAGTTAAATAATCAATGCAGCCCATTCTAGTCACAGATTTGGAAGATCTACCTTGTCATCAGGTTGATGGTCTGCAGTTGTTCCTTGTATGTAATACACCAGTGAATCAATCAGCCCATTACATTCTCTCATCCTTTTTCTTCCTTCAGGACCAGCAGAGCTCATATTTCTGTTAAAACAATGGATTCAAATTGATCACAGGACTACCAAGCATCACTTTCTTATATCCATTTCTATCATGGGCTCCTGCTTCTGAAGCAGAGAATACTGTGTGTGTAAAGTGCCATCAGATTGCAGCCGACTTATGGTGAGACTGTAGGGTTTTCAAGGCAAGAGACTAACAGAGGGGGTTTGCCATTGCCTTCCTCAGCATAGCAACCCTGGAATTTCTTGGATGTCTCCCATCAAAATACCAACCAGGGCTGATCCTGCTTAGCGTCTGAGATCTGACACGATCAGGCTTGCTTGGGCCATTCAGGTCAGGACAGGGATACTAATTCCTGTGAAAACAGTCCTAGGGCATGGATCTTTTCCAGCCCTGCTACTTGAGAATCAACCCTGTACATACAAAATATTTGCCCTCATATTGGGCTATGATCCCCACCCTGAGGCTATTGTGTGGATAATGAGATAGGTTAAATAATAGCCCCGTCTAGGGAGAATGCAAGTAATATTTTAAAAAATAACCACTGTTATTCATTTCAAAATAGAACACCCATTGTGACTTCACTCAAGCTATGTTCAGAATTTTAGAGACAGGAGTCTGAAGATGCATGAAACATGTAATGACAGTTGCCAGTTTCTATTGCAAAGAGGGGAAATGAGTCAGGCAAGATTCTAGAAGGGATTCTGCCTTTCAGTCCAAACTATACACATGGAACATTTTTCTGACATCACATTTTCACTAGTCTTCCGACAATGTCATGACTCATGAGTGCTGATGCACCTTTGAAAGGCATGCTGGAAGCCGTCCGGAACAGTATTAGGACGGGTCCTGAGAATCTATTGGTCCTGATCCGACATGGCTGCCCAGTCACTTAGATCCTCAAAAGCCTTTTTCTGAGAATCTGTTGTAGGTATTAGATAAAAGTTTTTTTAAAAAACAATTAATTTGGTTTTGGTTAATTTTGATTTTTGGGCAGCAATGATCACATCTCCTTGGCTGGAATCTGGCTTACTGTGTAACTGGCCAGTTCGTGAAGCAATGTTCGTGAGCTAAAGGACTGCCATGAAGTTTCACAAATCTTGATGCAGTTCGTGGTGGTTCACAAAGAGCAGAAAGCTGGGGTTTAAAGCAAACTGTTCCATGTGGTTCAGCTGTTTTAAGGGGCTTTCTTGGGCAGCCAGCCCCTTGAAACAGCTGAGCTGGGGCAGTTTGCTCTGCATGGCTCAGCTGTTTAAAGGGGCTTTCTTGGGCACTGCTGGCTGCCTAAGAAAGTCCCTTTAAACATCTGAGCTGCATGGAACAACTGCCCATGAAACATGAATCAGACTGCATTTTTGTGGTGCATGCCCATCCCTACACATAGATATATTGTTATGTCTCTCTTGAGCCATCTTTTTCCTTGCTAACAATGTTTCAAACAGCTTAAAGTGCATCACAACAACACTGATGCAAAAAGAGGAAACATACTCCATTTGCAAAATTAAGTTCTTATGTTCAATTTACCTGATTGTGGATTTTTTAAAATTTCAATTTGGTTTTAAAGGAAAAAGGTGGTACAAAATATCAACCATTTGGCTCAAAATTTTTAAAAATCTGTGAGAATGCCTCACGTAAATATGTACTAAATGAATCTAATTACAAACAATTTCAAATGTGGGTCCTTTTAAATCAAATGCTAAAAGGCACCCAAACTTAAAAAATCTCCTGCCACTTATAATAAATAATAATAATAATAATGATGATAATAATAATGATAATAATAATAATCCTGCACTTTATTTGCATTGAGGGCCTCAAATAACAGCAAGGTACTTCTGTTTATCCCTCTCTTCCTTCAAGAAGCTTAGGATGGCTTGCCTAGTTCTCTTGTCCACCATTTTCTCCTCATAGCAATTGTAAGGTCCTTTAGGCTAAGAGAGAGTGAGCTTTGCAGAACAACATGGCTCTGAATGAGGACTTCCCTTGTCTAGCATTCTAACCATCACACTACACTGGCTCCTGCACAGACTAAGCAAACAGACAAGACTAAACAAACCAAGTGTCCTTGCCACGGTTCTGAGGGTCATCATGTTTTTGCTCGGCAAAAATTTTGCTGCAACTCCCTTCAAACGTTCTACGACAAACTGGGCCAATTAAACATTTATCATGAAACTTCCATGTTGTTGCTGTGCTATCCCAGAAGCCCAGGCAAGCACCCAAAGCTTAAATCCCACAAGATGGCACACCTTTTGAAGCATCTACTTAAGTGCACATAATTCTGTACATTAAAGTTAGCAAGAAAGCTTTACATCGTGGAGAACTATTTTTCAGTTATCTTCTTGTTTGTACATTAAATATTTGCTTCTTGGCCACAGAGAAAAACTTCCACTGAAATGCACAGGACAAATTACATCATTTTACATAGCTCTAATTGATACAGGAGGGAATCAGCCTTTTCAGCTGCCGTCAGGGAAAAGCAAATTTGATGTTAAGAACATAAGAACATAAGAGACGCCAATGTTGGATCAGGCCAAAGGCCCATCCAGTCCAACACTCTGTCACACAGTGGCCAAAAAATACCAGGTGCCATCAGGAGGTCCACCAGTGGGGCCAGGACATTAGAAGCCCTCCCACTGTTGACCCCCCCCCCCAAGCACCAAGAATACAGTGAATCACTTGCCCCAGAGTCCCTATCTATACCTTGTGGCTAATAGCCACTGATGGACCTCTGCTCCATATGCTTATCTAATTCCCTTTTGAAGCCGTCCATGCTTGTAGCCGCCACCACCTCCTGTGGCAGTGAATTCCATGTGTTAATCACTCTTTGGGTGAAGAAGTACTTCCTCTTATCCGTTCTAACCCGACCGCTCAGCAATTTCATTGAGTGTCCACGAGTTCTTGTATTGTGAGAAAGGGAGAAAAGTACCTCTTTCTTGACCTGCTCTATCTGAGATGACACAGCCCACAATAGGGTTACCACTCCCCAGGTGGGGGTGGGGGATTCCCTGCTTTTGCGGGCTCCTGCCTCCTGGAAGCCAGCTGGTTGGTGGGAGAAAATTCCTACCCCCCAAATAGCGACGTCGTGCACAACACACTGACGTTACCCAGGAGTGATGTAGGCACGTCCGTTATGTTGGGGGGTGACGCTCTGTTTTTTGGGCAAAATTCTATGGTTTGAGGGCAATTTTACCATAGAGTTTTGTTCAAAAACCACAGCATTGTCCCCAACACAACCAGCATGCCTACGTCACTTCCAGGTGATGTATGCATGTTGCACAATATCCTCGCCCACTCCTGGAACACTTCCAAATCCCCCTGCTGGCACACTGATTGGACCTGGCAACTCTAGCCCACAAGGATGACAGATGGATGCACTAGCCCCTCTGTTGTTTCTTAGAAGCAATTAGGAACATGCTTGCAACATCCCAGCTCTCATACCACTACCTGTGCCTTCCTTTGTTACAGCAGGCTGACAGTTCTACTCCACCTTGCTATATTCATTAATTTGAAACATAGTTGATCCTCCATTGATTTAAAAGCCCAAGGAACAGATTTTTGTACGAAGGTGAGGAAAAAGGAAATGCTGTATGTGTTAAGTGTTGTCAAGAAGAAGAAGAAGAAGAGGAGGAGGAGGAGGAGGAGGAGGAGGAGATTTGATTTATACCCCACCCTTCACTCAGAGTCTCAGAGCAGCTTACAAACTCCTTTCCCTTCCCCTCCCCACAACAGACACCCTGTGAGGTAGGTGGGGCTGAGAGAGCTCTGACAGAAACTGCTCTTTTTCAAGAACAGCTCTGACAGAACTATGGCTTGCCCAAGATCATCCAGCAGCTGCAAGTGGAGGAGTGGAGAATCAAAGCTGGTTCTCCCAGATTAGAGTCCATGCACTTAACCATTACACCAAACTCGGACTCATGGAGACCTAACGAGTCTATGACTTCCAAAATGTCCTATGGGCAACAGCCTCACTCAGGTCTTACAAACTGAGGGCTGTCAGGTTCCTTGACTGAGTCAATCCATCTCATGCTTTTCCTGCAGCCTTCAACTTTTCCTAGCTTTACTGTCTTTTCCAGTGACTCTTTTCTTCGCATAATGTGACCAAAGTATGATAGCTTCAGTTTGGTCATTTTAGCCTCTAGGGAGAGCTTACACTTGATATGATCTAGAACCCACTTATTTGTCTTTTAGGTGGTCCATGGCATCTGCAAAACTCTCCTCCAGCACCACATATCAAATGAAATTTCTTCCTGGCAGCTTTCTTTATTGTCCAACTTTGCCCTACAATAAATTATTAACAATCCCAAATACACCTCAGCAAGCACAGTGTTTGAAATGCTGGCCACCCTCTACATGGTGCCCTGGTGTTCATGTGCCTGTATAGAGACATTTCTAGTGTGTGTGTGTATGTGTGTGTGTGAGAGTACACAAGCATGTGCTTGTGCAAGGCCTGGAACAAACAACTTCATTCTCTCCTCCCTAGTCTCAAATGAGGGCTATTATCTGGCCACCATAATGACATGATTCTATACAAATGCAAGAATTTGATCCTTCCTTAACCTTATTTGTTACGTTCTATTCTATTACAGTGATCTGAAAATCACCTTCCTTTTGGCAGAAAACTTTGTTTCTGTCTGCTTTCTGATATTCTTACAGAATATGTCTGTATTCACACAGCAGAAAGACTTTTTGTCCTCGGCCTACAAACTCCCAGATCATTATTTCCATATGCTTTTAAAACTATTATGCTTGGTTTTTCCATGATATGAACACACTCAAGAGAACATGTTCTCTCTTTCATCACACTGCGAGCTCTGTTGACAAGAACAGGTCCGCGATGGCCTTGCTTGTGCAATACAGAAGTAGATTTGAGAGTATGTGGGAGCTAAATAAAACAAGGCGATAAGGATGGAATGTTTGACACCATTGACTACACTGGAGGGCACTGAATGGATTTTAAATGAGAATTAGCTGTGGCTGTAGCAAAGTCCAGTGTTGTGTGATTGTGCAGATTGTTGCTTTCCTAC